AAAAAAAAAAAAACAAAAAAAAAAAACAAAACAAAACAAAACAGACTGTGACTTTCATGGACTCATCAGGAGGTCGAACCTGGACACACAGTCTGCCCAGGATGCATTTGACTGATGGATAAGGACTCACCACATGGCCCAGAGTTAGGGATACCCACCCCTCTTGTGTGTGTGTGTGTGTGTGTGACAGAGAGAGAGAGAGAGAGGGAGAGAGAGAGAGAGAGAGAGCCTCGCCACACCACTGTCCAAATGAAAAATGAACGAATGCATCTGGCCACAGAAAAGGGCAATAGCAACGGATGCATCTGACTACTTTCTGCGGATGCATTAGTTCTCTTCTCGTTTGGACAGAGTGGTGTGTCGAGGCCCCCCCCCCCTCTCTCTCTCTCTCTCTCTCTCTCTCTCTCTCTCTCTCTCTCTCTCTCTCTCTCAGCATCACAAGGGAGTGCGCGGAAATTTGCCAATTGCGCAGGGGAGGAACTTCGGCAATGAGACCCCACCGCGCATCATTTCTGCAGCCGTTCCGCTGGACGCGGATACCCAAAAAGAAAGGTTGGGGCGAGTTTCCTTTTTCGGCAAGATGGGGGCAGTCCCTTGGGTTTGTAGGCCTCCGGGGCGCGGAGATTGCTTTGTCGTCGTGCGACGAGTGCGCGGCAAGGGCCTCGGTGGGCGACAGGGATGGTTTTACCATGTGGTGTGGCCGTAGTCAAGGGTACCATACCGGTGACGGCAACAGGACCCCTCAGGAAGGTCTGGGAGGGTTTTTTTTTTTTCTTTTTTTTTTTAATAAAACATGTCCCCGCCAGTGCTAGTGGTGCTGATAAGAGCAGACACCAGTAGCACCTGGGGAGAGGCTCCATCTATTGGTGGGGAGCATCACCTGCTGGAAAACGGGTCCAGCGTCCCTTGTACAGGTTGGATATAGAATACACAGAAGAAAAACAGTTAGGGGGGGGGTTCCTGCCAGCATTGATTACCCTGGGTTCCAGGGGATTAACTGAGCGGGATATTTGGAAGGAAGGGGGAACCTCTTCACCCTGAACCCGGCGCCGGATGCCTGCTAATACACACTAGTTCCTCCCTCCCCCTCCCAGTCCCCCACAGCATTGACTGCCCCATTCCGTAGAAGGGGGGGATCGCTGGAAAGCAAAAAAGAAAAAAGGTTGTTAGCAGAAGAAAAAACCTCCCCGGGGGGCTCCAGGGAGGAATTCCTTGTATGAGTAAGAAATGTGTAGAAGACTGGGTAACAGGATTTATCCTTCAGGACAGGATCTCTGCCCGGGAAAGAGCATGGGGTGGAAAAGGGTATGGAAAATCAGCGGGGGGGCGAAGTGGGAATGAGGGTTCTATGTTTGTCCAGTCTTTGAAGCTTAGGCGATAGTCTCTCATCTCTTCCAAGTCCCTCTGTCCCTCCCCCCTGTCTCCGCTCCATTTTACTCTTGCAATCCATCCTTCTCTCTCCCTTCCCAACCAAGTTGTGCAAAATGTTGTGATCCGTCTCCTAACATCTTCTACTTGTTTAAAGAGGTCTACTAATTGTGCTTTGTGTCTAGCCACCTTTGTGTGAATTCGATATGTACCTGCTGCTGAATCTGTGAGGTGATTTCTGGCTCCTCTACTATCACCTTTTCCATAGCCAGCGTGCATCTCTGCCACCAAAGTGCCCATATCACCGCTCTCCTTCCAAGTCTGTACATATTCTCTACGAAGGTCGTAGCTGCTTCTGCCTATGGCCAATGGCCGGTGAATATGGCTTGCCAAGACCAGGGCCAGGGAATTGTAGATTCCATCTTTCTCCATATGCGATCTCACCATCTCCATATAAATAGGGTGATCGGGCATTCAATGAAGATGTGTTCGATGGTTTCCGCCTTCTTGTAGAAAGGGAAATGGCTCTGACACCGTTGGCACCACGGAAGCAGCAGACCTTTTTGTTCGAAATTGGTATGGTCGGTCAACCAGTCATTTGTTGGCAGACAGCGATGGGCGATCTGCCACTGTAGGGAAGTGATTTTCATGGGTTTTGCTTTCTGTTCTTGGAACCATTTTGTTTGGGAGGTGGGCTGAGCAAGTGTGAGAAACTATCGAGGTAGGCTGATTGTGGATGTGTTTTTGTTTTGCATGTTCGATCGTTTGTACACGTAGTGGTTTGTTTTATGTCGTCAAAGAGTAGGACTTTTTTGCACATTCCCACAGGGGATGGAAGCCAGATTTGTAGAGTCTGGCTATAACCAGGGTCAGAAGAGTGCATTCACAAATTGTTGAACTGCAGACCTGGTTTTTTTTTTTTTTTTTTTTTTTATAGGAAACATGCTCCAATCTAATCGTGGGGAGCAGCACGTGCTGGGAACCGGGCCCAGTGTCCCATTCAAGATCATATTGAGAAACTGAAAAATTTATGGGAAAAATCCTTGAGGTACGGGGGCCATTACCCGGCTTCGGCTAAGAAAGACAACTGTGTACAAGAACACTAAAATTTTTTCTAGCCTCCAAAGCTCGGATCAAAGGAGCATTCAGAACGAAAGAACCACCTACTTTTGAGTCTTTCGGCAACCCAACCCTACTTGCCTCACCCCTATATACCGATGCCCAATCTCTACTAGGCCTCATGCCCCCAACTGCTAGGTTACAAGGTGGCATGACCCACCCTTTTTTTTTTTTTTTTTTTTTTTTTTTTTTTTTTTTAAGTCCGGGGTGTTGTAGAGGCTAATTACCAGGCACACACAGGGATCACCGGAAGCACTGAGCCTTGGTCGTTCTAAGATCATAAGGTCACCGCCCAACCCAACCATTCATCAATACTCCCAGCGTATCCCCTACCCTACTATCCTACCTCAGTGTAACCCACTCAGGATCATCACCCAACCAGCAGGTGGGTGACTTGGACCAGACAGCATGACAGGCACCAAGGCTAGCTATTACCCCAGTCCCAGTGGAAGCGGAATCGGACAGGCCACGCTGTACGGGAACTTCAGACGCCAGACACTACTATATTCTACCAACCTCGTGTCCTTATACAAGAGACTATAGACCCCTGGGTTTATCTTCGGGGACAGGCTAACTGGCAGTCAGTATTCCCCCAGCTTACCCAAGGCCAGGCGGAACTCAGACTAACAGTCCTACCGTCCTTCCCCTAGCTTGCCCCTATCTTGGCTAGGTGGAACTCAGACCCGCTGGGGTAATTACCATAATCTACACCCTAGGGACTAAGTCTTTCTAACTCCTCCCTCAGTCAACTGTAGACATATGCAAGCCCGTAGGCCGTATATATGTGTTCGAAACTGTGGATGTATGTTTTTAGCCCGTAGGCTACGTATAATATGTGTGTGTATATCCAGACACCAGTTGTATACCCGAAGGTTGTATGTATGTATAACAGGCCCGACCGGACAACCCCCCCCAAAGTCAGTAACCAAGCTCGAACCCGTAACCTGTGAGATATATCTGCAAGACTCAACCGTATGAACATCAATCGGAGATGGCACGTATGTGTGGTATATCAGACTGGGGAGGACAATCGAACAACCAAGACCAATACCCCAAGCAAGCCCTGCAGAACCCAGAACCGGTATACAACACCCGGGACTTGATCCCCTGACCAATACAGGCAGGGTCTGTAATCATAACCATGTAGTGGTCAGAGGATAGTGTGTCCAGCCGTGCGTCAATCTAACGCCCTGCCGGTGTCCATGCGCAAGGCTGCGGATTTGAACCCGCAACCTTATACCACAATGCGCATTTCCGACCGGTGCTCTAACCACTGAGCTACATCAACTGGACGACATGACCCACCCTAGAAACCCCCCACCTGCTGGGCCACAGGGCAAACCGACCCGCACTGCCTCCGGTCAGCATCGGCTAGGCACCAGCTCACGAAAAGACACTAGAGTGCCTTCTACCCTAAAAAACTCCCCAGATCTCTCTTCCAGGTCTCATGCCTCATACCACTTGAGTTACAAGGTAGCGCAACCAAGCCCCAACACCAACCAGCGTCGTTCTGGCCTCATCTATTCGCAAACCACCGAGACTCAGGACTAAGGCAAATACCAGTCAAGCTACCAGCCAGCACCATAGTTGTAGATCCCATCATTCATCTTGCAAATATCCCCCAACAAAACCTTATCAACCCTACCGTCACAGCTCCACTACCCCCTGCCTTCAACTCCAAAACCTTGGAGGAATTTTCCAATTAAGAAAACAGAAATCAAAACATGATCATTTCAGCGCCTACATTTCCCACAGGAAAAAGGGAAACCCCATGGAAAGTCTAGCGCCTAGTGAAGTCTCAGTTACATGTAAAGGGGTCACAAGCACCAAAGGGATTACTCCTCTCCCCCAAAAGGCAACCC